GTGAACATGCTAACATTTATTTTTTTTTTTCTCTGTCCGGTATAAAAGTAGCGTCAAATTTTGGGGAGCCAAGACAAAAAGAAAAGTCGGTCATACCGCGGCACGGGCTTAAGTTTTGGTCTGAAGCATCCCTTAGGTAGTGGTTCTGTCAACGCTAGCATGAAAAATTAGAGTTTGGTTTGATGGAATAAGCGGTGAACAAAGAATACACACCAGCTGAGGCATGGTTCAGACTGAGCTTTTGGAGAGATGAGCTACCAGCTGCATTCAGGCTACTCTGCCTGACCGTTGTAGTGGGTCCTCCTATGTGACATGGATAGTGTTTTGAAATGAAGGAGCGTTGCGAACGCTGCTAGTCTGCTCAGGTGCTTGGCATAGAGGCTGCACCTTTTGTATCTGCTTGCAAACGAGCATTTGCTCAAAAAGCAGAAATCTGCACACAGTGGGGTGCCAGGGATAGGCAAAATACATGCAAATATGTATCGAAATACAAATACAAAATACTTTGTCAAAAATGTATTTAATTACAAATCTAATTACATTTCCAAAAAAGCATTTAAGTACAAGATACAAATACAACCAATTGTATTTGGTCTCCTCCAAATACTTTTCCAAATACATTCATCAAAATTTGCGTCAGCAACTTAGGGCGTCTGTACGGGTTTCTGGGTATCTAGTTTTAATTTTGCATCACACACTCGGAAGTTAGTGTGCGAGGGCTCTAGTAACGTAATAGAAATATATCGCAAAAAAAAATGTAATCAGCTTGGACGTAATAGGTGAAAAAAGTACAGAGCTTCAAGCAGCTTTTTTTGTCTATTACATTTTGGTATAGACCAAAAATGAGAGATGACCAAGACGCGCAGCACTAGCTAGATAATTTTTTATTGTTGCAACTCGCACCAGTTACGAAAATCTGGACGACCCGCGCATTTAGAATGTTCCAGGCAAAAATATGGATGGAAATCGGGCTGGAAAGCATCGCAAGTTGTCACAGGCACTTATCTAGCCAGTCTGCCTGTGAATGTCGATTTCGTCACTTATTCTTGCCCTGGACTAGCTCCGTAATCAGTCACTAAACGCTTGTGCTTGATTGACAGACAATGCATTCGGTGCAGAACATAGCCTTTCTTCCTGCTCTGGACAGTGACAATAAATTTGAGGGATGTATTTTCGCCCACAAAATTGTATTTAGTTACAATTGTATTTGAAATACCCATGTTTTAGTATTTAAATACACACATCAAATACATTACCTAATTTGTAATTATAAATACAAATGCAAAATACTTGTATTTGAAATACTGCCCATCCCTGTGGGGTGCAAAGGGGACTGCTGCTTATCCGTTTTCTAATCTCTGCTTGCATGTGCGAGATTATCGTTGCTCAAAGTAGTGTTTTCCTAGCTACTCATGGAGAAGATTGGTGCTTCAAGACGTGCAGTCACAACAGTGACTCAAAGGATCGTGCACGGAAACCGATGGCTGTGACATGACAGCTTCGCAGCCTGTCCTATGGACCCAACACTCGTATAGCATGCACTAGTAAGAGGTTCAAATTCGCCCCCAAGAGCACTTTTCTCGCGTGCAATGAGAAACATTGTAGAGTAAAGGAAGGAGTTGCTTTGCCCCTGCATTTGTGCAAGTTACTACAAGTGTGTTGGCATCCGCTGGACATTTTACTTTTCTCTTCCAGACAGCAGGAAGGCGGGCAGAGCTGGGACGATGATTGGGGGGACTGTTCATCTACAACCACAAGGGGGAGGTGCTCATCTCCAGGGTTTACCGGGATGACATAGGGTGGGTGTTACACTGTTTCTAGGGTGCTTTTTTTTAAACTTTGCTTTTGTTGTTACATTATCAATTATTAGACACAACTGTGCTGGTAGGACCTGTCTCACGTGTCCATAAGTTTTTTTTAATCTTTATATGACGCATGAATAAGCTTAATTTGATGGTGTGCCCCACCTGCAATAATTAGGTGGCCATGTTAGAAAATGTTTGTGGCGTCATGTACCAGTGCGCCCTTGCCTTGTTGCTCCCTCCACTTCTTTTCTTGCCGGAAACTGATGCACAGGAAGGCAATGCAGTAGTACTCCTTGGTCACAAAAAGGGAACCAGAGGGAGCATAGGAAGCACACCCACATGGGGTTGCCTCAGTTCTGTCATAGTCACATGGTCACTAGAAAAATTAAATTTAAGTTCTGCAATAATTACAGCTTCAAAATATAGCAAAGCTTGTTGTACATTCAAGTAACCTTTTAAAAAAAATATAAAAAGTTTATAAAAAAATGTTTGTCTTGACTCCTAAGCATCCTCGGTTGTGCTATATACCGGCAGTTTTCATTTGGGCACAAGGTTTTCGTGAATTACTGGACGATGGGCTGGTGATGAAGTTTTCATGTAGCAGTTCTCAAAATGATTTGTTAGCCCTACATGGTACCAACCCCTACCTTTTGTTGGGGGTGGTCCATACTAAAGCCACTTTTGTTTCCGCAGTGTTCATTGTCTGTGCTTTGCTGGAGTTCTGCCCCAGAAGGTCCCATAGTGGCGTCGGGCACTTCTTATTCTCCCATTATCGTTGCATTAATTAAAACTTCAGTTGCACATTAATGCTAGCTAGTCTCGTCTACTCCCTCTACTTGCCCTCCTCCTTTGTGCCATTTGTGTCATAAATGTCTGCCCATTGGTGCACTTTTATGCACCCTCGGAGCAGAGTTGTGATGGCGTCGTTTGGGGCCGTAGCTAACGGCACATTCTTCCACACAGGCGCAATGCGGTGGACGCGTTCCGGGTGAATGTGATCCACGCCCGGCAGCAGGTGCGCAGTTCCCGTGACCAACATAGCGCGGACATCCTTCTTCCACATCAAGCGGGCCAACATCTGGCTGGCGGCAGTGACCCGGCAGAATGTCAATGCCGCCGATGGTCTTTGAGTTCCTGCTCAAGATGTGTGAGGTGATGCAGTCCTACTTCGGCAAGATCAGTGAGGAGAACGTCAAGAACAACTTTGTGCTCATCTACGAGCTGCTGGACGAGATCCTGGACTTCGGTTACCCGCAGAACACGGACACAGGCATTCTCAAGACCTTTATCACCAGCAGGGGGTCAAGTCTCAAACCAAGGAAGAGCAGAGGCCAAATCACCTCACAGGTGCGTGTGCAAGGGTGGCCCGCTGTTAACTTACTTCCCCACGTTTCTGCCGCTTAGCGTGACGCAATGTTGGCATGCCCAGCGTCCGAGCGCAGGTCACATTTTTACATTTGACCAGAAACTTTTCCACCTTCTTTCATCATGCCTGCGATGGATTTAGGAAGCCAGATTTGTGCTTATTTTTTCATCTCTAGTGTGTCTAACAAGCATCTTTGTCCTTGCCGAGCAGGTGACGGGTCAGATCGGCTGGAGGCGCGAGGGCATCAAGTATCGCCGCAACGAGCTGTTTCTAGATGTCCTGGAGTATGTAAACCTTCTTATGTCTCCCCAAGGTGAGGAACTTGCTGCTCACTCTGGAGTGCCCTTTTGGAGATCACTTGCAGAGCCACTCTAAAGTTGAGGCATTTTCTGTTGACGTTCAAATCTGCCGGTGCTTCGTCCCATATGTTCGGTTAGGCGACGCTGTGCTTGTTTCTAAGAATTCCAATTGTGACAAGACTTTATTACCAGCCTCGATGCATGGTGACATTGGGATGTATTGGTTGAGGTTGATAACCTTGTTATGGGGTCTCAAGGGACCATGAAACAAATTTTTCTATTTGGCTGACTAGTGCTCGCAGTAATTTGTGCATTTGTAAAGCATGGAGCAGGGATCAGTTTCTGTTTACATCTGATGGTTCTTGCAGAAAGTACTTTAAAGGGCAACTCCGCTCAATTCCGGAAAATTTAGGCTTACATGTGATTCTATTTCACAAAGCACTACTAAACAGCTCTACGTCTTCGGATTCGCAAAATGTGCAATATTATTTGTGTAATCTTAATTTAAACATCAGCTGATACCGAAACTTCGGTTGCGTCGGGCAACATTGGTATCGTGTCGCCCAGAGTCGTGTCCACGTCACGTCGAACCACGTGGTCTTGTGACGTTCGGAAAGGGAGGGGCGGGGGGGGGGGGGGGCGAGGGACAGGACACGCGCAGGTGGCTTCGCATGGCGTGGACGGTGATGGCCCGGGGGAGAGGAGGAAGGGGAGAAGACGAAAAAGGAGAGGGGAGCGGAGAAAGAGACAGATAAGCGCGCAGGGCAGCGCAAGTGGACGCCGTTGAGCCAACACCGGGAGGAGAAACTCATGACGTCATTGTTCAATTTCGCTCTGAGAAGTAAAAACAAACAAAACGTGAGAATGACGTAGTCATGCCTCTGACGTAGTGGCTCAACGTTGGCCGCGTCCATCTCCGTCGCATTGACTGCGTTGACGATTGCGCCTCACGTCGCACGCTAGAGTTGGCAGATTTTGGCGACTTGTCTCACTTGAAGGTTTGCTGGCCAGTTTATTGAATATATAGACGGAATTAGATCGTAATATTGGGCATGGGGGTCTTGCTATATGATACTGAAGAGGGCTACATAGTTTTCTAAATATCAAAAATGGAGCGGAGTTGCCCTTTAGAGGCTTGTATTGCTTTTTCTCGTCTCGTTTTCTGCCTAATGTTGTCCCATGTATGTCATTGTGCAGAAGAGAAGGTTGTCATTCCAGGCTTCCATTCCACAGTTCCTTAACTCTGCCAATAGGGCACATGTGAGCTCATTCGAAAAGGTACAGAATGCTTACAGTGTCCTGTCATCTCCAACAGGTCAAGTGCTGAGCGCACATGTGGCCGGGAAGGTAGTAATGAAGTCTTACCTCTCGGGCATGCCCGAATGTAAATTTGGCATCAACGACAAGATCACCATGGAAAGCAAGGGCAAGAGTAGCACCATGGACGACCCCACCCGAAGGCAAGTCCCGTGCCACCTCTTGTTACCCTATCCATACAGAGTGCATCGCAGCCAGTGCCAGCTAGAGCCACTGGAGCACTGCACTCCACTCCTTGGTTGTCTTGTGGGTGCCGCCATTCTGATGTCTAGTGCAGGCAGGCACAGTTGGCCACTGTGACAATTTGAAAATGAGACTTCCTCAGCTTTAGACGCGGTGTCGGGAAACTCGGGTTATATAGTCTTGCTCCGGTGCAAACTGTTTTAACGTTTTTGGGAGGACAGGATAAGTTTCCTTTATTTCAGATGGAGCTTCAGATAGCTGTAAATGATTTTTAAGCAGAAAGGTCGCTGAAACAGTGTTGCTTTGAAGCCTAGCTCATCTAGTGCAAACGAGCTGTTGCCAATTTTGTGCTGTTCTTCAACCACTGGAAGGCTGTAACCGTATCTACTGCTTTAGAGGAGTGAGCTTCTGTGGAGTGCTAACCTAGGCACTAAAACCATGGTTTGACACCGTCGACGCTCGAGCAAAAGCACCAACGTCGTGTTGGTGCTAACTGTCGCAATGCGTCGTATCTGTGGGGTGGAGCTTTGTTTTGGTCAGCCTTCAAATTCAGTCCCGGCTAGAGCAGTTTGGTTTTTAGTCTCTCGGTGTTCCAAGCACTGGTTATAGCTTTGGTAACTATACCTGTCTTAGTCTCGAGAACTGAAGTAAAGAGAGTCCGGCTCCTTGTAGAGAATTGCTAATTTCCCCCTTTATGCGGATAATTGAATTATATGTAGGCGAAATTTGGATCAGGTACGTTGTCTTATCAAGACGTGCACGTTCCAAATGCCAAAAGTATCGCTTTTTTTCCAACAACCAAATCTCGTAAGCATATGAGCAATGTGCAAAACTTGCTTTTCTTGAGGTTAAAAGGAGTATAATTCCCAAGTTGCAATCGAGCCTCAATAACTAACTTGGTTAGGAATAACCTGCGACTTGGTCCAGTGCCAGTTGCTTCACAAAATTGTATTGACAAGCACACTTTTATGTAGACTTGTTCTCAGCACTGGCACCAACACATTGTCACTGCGTCAAACTGCCATGAGTGGAGTGTTGAATTGAAGTGGGGGAATTTGTGTCAACATTTGTTTTACGCCACTGGATGCCACACCCTTGGTCAGCAATCTCCGCATGCCTCAGTACTGTTGGGGTATTTCAATAGCATGGGTGGAACCTAATTTTGTTACTTTTTGGGATTAACATGAACTGTTTGTTGATTAATTTGCTAAGTGCAACCATACCGAACTTCAATGTAACTAACCTGACTACTGTTCAAGATTAACTTACACAGGCTTGACTAGCTATTTTTTTTTGTGAACTAAACATAGGTATTTGTGCCAACAATATTATCTGGCTTATCTTTCAGCACGGGCAAGACATCGATAGCGATTGACGACTGCCAGTTCCACCAGTGTGTCAAGCTGAGCAAGTTTGAAAGCGAGCATAGCATTAGCTTCATTCCACCGACGGAGAATTCGAACTCATGAGGTATGTGGCGGCAATACTGGTAGTCTTTGTGCTGTTGACGAAACTAGATTGCCGGGCGGGGCTTACACACTGCCTGTGTGGGTAGACCTACCAAAAGTCGGTCTGGAGGTTTGACCTAGACCCACTCCGAGACGGAGTAGCTTGAAGGTGAGCTCTTTTGTGGAGTTTGACTGAGGTGCTGAAATGAGGTGTGCTGTGACAGAGCCCCTCATTGTTTGCCAGGACATGCTGTAAAATACTGAGCTAGCACCCATGGCACTGCAACTTCCAGTGGCATAGCCAAAGAAGTTTAGACTATCCTCAAAAAAAAAAACAAAAAAAAAAAAACAATTCCTGGTTATGCTACTGGCGAGTGCCTATTGTTTTTCATAAGCATCAGAATTGGCTGGGGTTTGTGAAGCTTTTACAAGTTTAGCTTGCGAGTGTACCCATCCCCAAATATTTCTGTAATCATTTCTCGTCTGGATGGGTGCCCATTCAATATTTTGTAGCATGGCCGGTAGTTTTTCCACTTTGATGCTATTTAAAACTGCCAAAGCGTGAAAGTTTCAGTATTTTGCACGAGCGTAGCATGTTGCAATTCAAGGTGAGGGCAGGTGAACAAGGGACAGCCGTAGCAGTGAGTTGTGGTGCCGCCCAGGTACCGCATCACCAAGGACATCAGCTTCCCCTTCCGGATCATTCCCCTTGGTTCGGGAGGTTGGGCGCACCAAAATGGAGGTGAAGGTGGTCCTCAAGTCCAACTTCAAGCCTTCCCTCATCGGACAAAAGATAGAGGTAGCGTCTGCCCTCCTTGGCGCCAAGTTGGGTCTCTAACTACGGTACAGCGGGAAGGGGCGTGTGCATGACTGACAGGATAGAACACGGAAGAGTTACGGCCAACACCAGAGCCGGTGTACAGTGATATTTGTGCATGGCTTTGGGAACTTGCAACCCTGGTAGTTGTACCTGTGTGACTGAAGTTGTTCTTCACTGGGCTTTTTTCTGGTCCTAGGGTGCGCATTCCGACGCCCCTGAACACGAGCGGGGTGCAGCTCATCTTGCATGAAGGCAAGGCCAAGTACAAGGCCAGCGAAAACGCCATTGTCTGGGAAGTGAGGTGGCCGATAACTATGCATATTGCTTCTTTTTGCTACGCTCTTGAACCAAGTCGTGGGAATTGCTATACAGTCTAAGGTCCGTTATAAGAGACCTTGATTTAGATTTCGGTCTGTTGTAGAAGGAGTATGTTGTATGCAGATATAAAGTTGAGTCAATGGTGCATAGAGGAAAACCAACCGAACCTCACAAATCGGCATGTTATATCCAAATATCTGTTGTAGCCAGGTCTGTTATAATGAGCTTAGACTGTATCAGGGTTCTGTTATACTAATCTCTAAAAAAAGTAGTCAAGATGTACATGGGGGGAGAAGGAGGAATGCAGGCCAAGCTGGTGTGATCCTTCTATCATTTACTGGGGCTAGGGTAATCCTGGGGGTACATTACAAAAGATGTACACAATGTGCCAGACCTGGCAGCATGCTGCAGATGCTGCATACAAGATGCTTTCCTGACTTGGAAGGTTGAGAGCATGAAGTACATACACCTGAAGGCCATGTTTTTTTTTTTTTTAAGGGGGGACATGGGCCTAAATTTTCAATTTATTTGAAAAATTAATTTTTCTACTTAGTTTTTTCGGTTTTAAAAACTAAATATCATTACACTAAATTTTATAATCATATGCCAAAGTTATGTTTATTTAAAATATTTTTAACACATTGTGAGGTGGGAACAAAGTAAGAGTTCAATGTTTGAATAAATTTTTCCTCAGTTCCACTTTTTGCTGCAAATTTCAAATAAATCTTTCGTTCGAAGGTAAGTGTTCTGATACCACAATCGAGATGTTCTGAACTGAAATCTACATGGGGAATCGGGGCTATCTACTTTATTTTGTGGTAAGTTGAAGTCCTCATTGAGAAAAACTGTTTTCAAAAATTGACATAGGACAGATGCATCCCCTATATTGAGGTAATGACCCTTCCTAAAATATTTACATTTGAGTTCTAACAACTAGATAGCCCAAAGTTTTACATCCCCCACTATACATTCAAGTAGTCAGAATGGTGCTTAATAGGTTCATTTGCATATCATAGATTTACAAAGAATGACAGATCTTCTGATGCAGGTATGTAAAAATGTCCTAGAGCATAGGCGTAGGCTTCGGGGGGGGGGGGCATCGGGGCTCGTGGCCCCCCCCCCCCCCCCCCCCCCCCCCCCCCTGGTGAAATCCAAAAAGAGGGCCGTCATCCTTAACGACATGCTGTTTACGTGCCATGTAACGAGCATCTAGTAGTGGCATGTGAAGAAAATAACGCCCACGGTGCCTTTATTGACAAAATACATGGGAAATGGAATCCCAGCGTGCCTTCGTTAGCTTCAATTTATAGTTCAAGCGAAAAAGTATTGCGCAGCCCCCCCCCCCCCCCCCCCAGAACTTCTCAGCTCCCCCCCCCCGGGAAAATGGAAAGTCTACGCCGCTGTCCTAAGAGAGCTCAAAGGTTGCAAAATACACCTACATCTTATGTTAAACCTCCCCTGCAAATTTCATTTGATCACTTGAGTAGTTCAGGAGTTAAATCTCTAGCTAGTGTCCCCTTCTCAACTAACTTTGCCTGGACGTGTCTTGACCTATGGGTGCACGAGCACTGGCTTGTCCGTAAGCCAGTGGGCTGCACCCTCAAAAGATGTTCTGTTTGGTACAGGATCAAGCGTATGGCAGGCATGAAGGAGACTCAGCTGAGCGCCGAAATCGAGCTGCTCCAGACGGATGCCAAGAAGAAAATGGAACAGACCCCCAATTTCCATGAACTTTGAGGTGGGTCATCGTATCCGGACTGCGACCACATTCGATTGACGAATTGGTCGCCAGTGCTGCCAGGATGGGACAAAGTCTTGTTTTGATTTTGGCCCTGAGAATTCTTAATGTGGAGCCTTTGAATGTTCAGTCCTCCATTAAATAGAGCTCGACAGACCTGACACTGGCATGCAAACCCTTCTGTAGGAGATGGAATGTCTCTGAAATTGGGGAAACCGATTTTACTGTCGTAAAAAGCCCCTTAAAATTTAGAGTGAAATATACAGGGTGTTTGGTTTTATTTCTAACAGATTCATTAAAAACAACTGTGAAAGGTGCACTAATGCAGTCTGTGCAGGTGAGTACACATAATGTGGGTGACTTGTTAATGAACTTAAATTAGTTAAAATAGACAATTCTAGTCAAAGAACTTCCCAAGTAGCATCTAAAACCACTAAATCGGTTAGTTTTAGCAGGACTTGAAGCACGTGGGGGTGCACTAAAGTTGCCACATGTGGAACAGGCGGTGGGAATACGCAGTAATATTAGTTTCATTACGTTTTTGCACCACTTGCTTTGCTGTTAGTGCACGAGTGGTTAATTTAGTGCCCTTCCTTGTTTCACACATGCTTCAAATCTTTGAAAAAAATTTACAGATTTAGTGGTTTTTGATGATGCTCAGCAAGTTCCTCATGCAAACCACATGTTTTCACTAATTAAGATATAAATAATTATATTTGTTCATTATGCAACTTACTGTGAGGATTTACCTCCCTAATGTTACATCCTTTAAGGCCTTATAGTTCATTTATACAGTGTGTTAGTGTACCTTTTATGGCTTTCCTTTAATTGATGAATCTGTTCAAATAAAGAAATCAAATGCCCTGTGTATTTTGTAAAAGTTGTCATAGTTTTAGTAAATTTTGCAGCTATCCTTAACATTTTTTCCTTCAGGCTCCTTTCTCGTTTTGACTCGGATGCACTCAAACTCGGCGAGCACGCAATATTGTTTTTAAACGCACTTGTGCCTTTTTTTTTTTCTTGAAGCCGCATTTTGCGTCAATAATGGCTGCAGTGTTTCTGGTGTTGGAAGGACTTCATTATGTAGTCGGTGGCAGGTTCAGAGCCCAGGAGATGGTCTGCCTCAGATGGCACTTGTAACACGTGCAGCCAAAGCCCGCCGGAAGGCAATGAGTGCGTGCTGGAGGCAGACCATCTACTGGATTGTTGGCCCATTGTCAAGTATGGGCATGCACCGGCTTCCTCCGCTTGACCCAGCATCCGCGACGTTGTTGCAGGTTCCCTTTGCTCCTTCTGGGCTCAAGGTGCGCTACCTCAAGGTGTTTGAGTCCAAGCTAAACTACAGCGACCACGACGTCATCAAATGGGTGCGCTACATCGGCCGGAGTGGCCTCTACGAGACTCGCTGCTAGCCTCCCCACCGTCGGAGCTCCCCTTCCTTCTCCTCCTCCTCCCCCCACTGTCCACTAGCTAACTCTGTCGAGCATTCCCCAGAGGCCAATCCGGTGCACCCACCGAGAGTTTGACTGTCGGTGAGGTCTTGCCAGGGTGGCGTCTGTGCACCAACCGCTTCCCTGTGGGCTCGTTAATTTATTCGCCCCGTCCGGACCCTTCCTTCGCCCCTTTCGACTTGCAGACTGGTGGGCTTATTTGGGCGTTTGCTCGTGTCTTTCCACTCTAACCTACATCGGCTGCCAGTCTATTTCTTTCCTCGTTTTTCGGTTGTTTTTCTTCGAGCTGCTCCTGTGATTTCTTGGCCTGTTCTTCTTTTATTCGAGGCCTTATTTCTTTTATTTTTTGTGTGGCTTTCCCTTTTTTTTCTATATATTTGTTTAAATCTCCTGTTGAAGACTCGAAAGACCACACCCGTTGGGACATGCGCCATATTCTCCGGGGAGGCTCTTGCTGTTCATTATTCGTCTGCTAGTGGTGTACCCTCCAGTATCGAGACGAAATAAAAAAAGGGGTAGTCTGCACTTAGACCGGGCGGGGCTGCGACATCGAACCGTTGGTGTGCAGCGTCCCCCGGCAGTGCGACTGCCACTGCAGCCACGTTGTGACGAATGCTTTGGTGTTGTCCCACAAGCATGAGAAGTTTCACAGGCATTATGGCACGTCGAGTGCGCGAAATAAAAATGTATGTTAACATTGTTTGTGGCGTGCCATGTCCTGCTTCCCACACATTTAGTGAAATTGTGTGGTAAAACAGGTTCAATGAAAGTGTGATGCAAGGTACTACTACATGCCTGTGTTGGGAAGTGTTTAAGTCGGCATCAACTGGCCACGCTGCTAGCACCAATACAAACAGTTAGCAATACTGATACACAACCAATACAAAATGAAAGTGGCAATATGGCAAATAGTTTGTCAGAATGGTTGACTCTAAAGAAAGTTTGCTCTAGCTATACTTTGTTTGAGCTTAATCCCAGACTTGGCTGATGCTACGAGGTAATAGGACCGATCAAGCAGCGTCAAAGGTGCGAATCCCAATGTCTTTATGATTGGTTCAGCGATGATGGAACACTTTGAGAAAGATGAACTCCATGATGGTGCTCTTCTGACTCTGATTGGTCCCATTAGCTCATAATGTTGGATGTGTCTGGACTTAAGGTGAAACTAAGTATAGAGTGGATCGGCAAACGAGTCCTTGAATGTTTGGACACCAATTTCAGATGCATCTGGATGACAGCATGTGTAGCGGCGCCAGTCTGTTGAACAATGTTTCGTTGACTCAATGTTTCGTATACGGCTTCTTTTTTTGCAACATTTTGTCGTGCTCGGGTTAAAACAAAAGGGTTAACCTTTGCAAGAATGCGAGTGTGGCAAATATTACCCTCGCTTCTGGTATACTTCCAGCAAGCGAAGGGAAGACTAATCGATTCTGTCCTAGAGAGATTTTGCGGACCAATCATTGCAAAAAAGGGGTTCACAAAATGTAATGTTGACGAAGCATGTGTCTATAAGATCAAGTTAACAAAATGTAATGGATTTGCAATGAAAAAAGTTGCTACATTCGAAGTCTTCGTATTGTTGCTCTGAAGAACAACATTGCGCACTCTGCGACGGAAATCCGCTCAAAAAGCAAACCCAATTTACTCTTAAGAGGGATGTCTATGTTGGGAAAGCCAGCTCCAAGAGCCAGACCACTTCCCTTGTTGCGAGCCACTTACCTGAGAAACCATGACCCTAATTGAAACTTCCCGCAAAGCAAGAAACATCCCATGTCTCCAAAACCATTCACAACCTTCAGAGTCAAAACAGTTGTAAGCCTAGGCAAGTGACAGACAGCAGGTTACATTTTGTCTGCACTTTCAACACTAAGTAAAAGCTAAAGAAATTGCGAAGGAAAAACAAGGCCGAGTTGCTCATTGCCAATAAAAGGGTGCCCTTTTGCGACCTTCTATACAAGAGCCCTTTCACAGAGATAAGAGGCAAGTTTCGACGTGTAGATAGCCCACAGTACCAGCACTGCACTTGCATTTTTCCTTCAGTACCTTTGGGGCCAATAGACACACAACCGCTGATAAAAACAAAAATATGCTCGGGGTCATTTGAACCCGAACCATGCTGCTTAAGCTTGCTTTGGGATGATGCCCATTCCTGAAATAATTTCGGCAACAAATATCTTCAAAGCCCTATACATTAATCACAAGCAAAAGATGAAAAAAAAAAAAATTATTTGGTCCATTATTATTAAGGATGACGCGAACCACCCTTGGTTCGAGTTCGAAAGGTTTCAATATTTTCGAAGCGAACTAAGGTTTGAATTAGAAAAATTTCGATATTTTCGTACCGACCAAGGTTCGAATTCGAAAAATTTGCAACTTTCGATCACAGTGGAGTTTCGAATTCGAAAAGTTCGAAGCTTTTACGGTTTCTAAAATTTCGGGTTTGAATATTTTTTTACTTGAGGTTCGATGAATTCGATGATTTCGAACTTTCCTAACTTCAAATTCGAGATATTCAAAAAATTTCGAATTTCCTGGGATCTGAAATTCGAAAAGTTCGAAGCTTTCGAAATTCTTTAAATATAAAAATCAAACGCTTCGAATTTTTATGAACATAAAGTTCGAAGATTTCGAAGCTCTTTCTACATAAAGTTCGAAGGTTTCAATTCTCTTCTAACGCTAAATTCAAAAAAGAAAAAAAAAAAAACTTTCGAAGATTTTAAGTTTTTTTAGGTCCAAGTTTTCAAAGTTTGATTTTCATGTTCCTTCACAGTTTCAGTTTCAAATAATGTTTTCACGACTCACTGGTCTTCACGAAATCAGGTATAGAAAAGTTAGGGCGTGATATTTAGACTGCGAAGTTGGGTCAGGCAATTAAATGAGACGACGAGCGTCCCGGATGTGCTGGAATATTTGCCAGTGCAGAGTGACGTGTGACCATAGATCAGTAATTGTGACACTGTTTTACGATACTCTTCCAGTTGGAAACGGCCAGGGGCGGGCAGGAGGTTGAAGCTCAGAAAAGCCTTGAAGCGACCTGGTAAACTACCTCCCTACCCCTTGCACGCGGGTAGTAATCTGATCGAACGCCGCCCGAGTGACGCTGGCATATAGTAAATTAAGTTTGTAATTGTCCTGGAGGTTTATTTTTTGGGACGGAGGAAACGTCTCGCAAAGAGCACAGAAGCCGACACAATTCGAGTTCGAGGAGCATTCTACCATACAAGTCTTTCAAAGTTCAACGAACGTCGAACTTTTACCCTAAAAGTTCAAAGTTTGTCGAACTTTTGACATGTCAGGATTCTAAACTTTTCGAATTCTCTTGATAAATAAGTTCGAAATTTATCGAATTCCTTAGCGTAGGAAGTTCGAAAGTTCGAACGGCTTCGATTTTTTTAGTGCAAGAAGTTCGAAAATCGTCGAATTTTTTGGTCTATCAAGTTTGAACGTTCGACAAGCATAGAATTTTGCAGCGTAATAAGTTTGAAAAGGATCGAATTTTTTAGTGTCATAAGTATGACGATTCGAAAGGCGTCAAACTTCTTAGTTTAACAAGTTCGGATATTCGACTTCCGTAGAATTTTACAATATAGCAAGTCTGAAAATTCAAAATCTTTCGAATCTTTCGAACCGCTTGATTCGATAGTCAAAACTTCGGTTCGAAAAAAGTTCACGGCATCCCCAATTATTATTGGTGGGAAGTAATGGGTACAAACAACTGCACAGACCTTTTGGCATCTGCTGAGCTTTTGATGGAGACATTACTTCGGCTTGTTTGATGCTTCGACACTGTTTACAAACAAGTCGGCGTTTGCCCCCATCAGGTGTGGGCATTCCGCGTGCACACAAACCAGATTCGCGTGAAGGGTCGGTGCATGCGCTGCAGAGCCATATATTCTGGCCAGAGGGGGTGGCAACATAGGCGCTAGGGGGGGGGAAGTGAAGGAAAGAGGGAAGAGCACCAAAGGAGCAAGAGGAAGGAGAGAGCAAAGAGGAAACGAGCGCCATTTCGACGCAACATGTGCTCGATGCAGAGCACTGTTAAGGCTATGCGCAGTCTTTCACACCACTCACCGCCCTCATGTCCCTCTCTCACTCATGCCCCTCACGCACTTATGGCCCTCGCGCCACTCGGGCCCGCTTCGAATGGGGCAATCTCGCCCAGAAACTTGACGTCGCAGCAACCAATTGCTGCAATTTGCCATCATCATGAAATTTTATTTTGGTTGCACTATTTAGACACAATTACGTGCTATAAACATATTTTTTTTCCATTTAAATCTTGTTGAGAATACTAATGCATCTCTCTGATACAGTTTATTTCCATAAACTATCACTTTCAAACCAGAACCAAATCTTTTGTTGTCATCACCGGCACGAGGCATCACGTGAAAATATCGCGTCCCCGATTGGATGCAGCCGCTTCAAACGTCTTCGAATTGCTCAGAGTTGCTCGCTTGTTTCGAGCCGAATCCGATCTCAGCCATTTGTGTCGATCTAGGGAAAGCTAGGGAACTTGCCATCAACACCAAAATTGCTGAGAGTTGCACAGTCTGAAGGGGGCCTCACGCCTCACCGCCCCTCATGGCCCTCCCCGCCCTCACACCCGTTACGCACTCATGGCCCTCGCACTCCTCACGGCCCTAATACCCTCACGCACTTATGGCCCTCACGCCCCTCACGAATTTTCCTAGTTCAGAAACTCACTCACCTCACCTGTGAAAATGAGGGTAAGTGGGGGCCCTCATGAGTGAGGTTCGCCGAGGTATGGGCATAACAAGTCAATGATGGCCACCGGTAACAATGATAAACATGCCCTTCTCTCCACTGTTTACACTGAACCTACTTACCCCAAACAACCTTCAAATTTAAAAATCTTTTGAGGCCTGCACCTACTATTGTAATTACCGTGCCTATGTGTGGTCTATGGGCCGTTGTCATTTGAACGTTCAGAGTTTGAAAAAGCAGACAGTTTGAATGGGAAGACGCATTGAATGTCGTTTGCGGGTGGCCCAGACAACTTGACCGTTTTCCCCCGCTCATGTTGCAACAAAATAAATCTGACTATCCCAAGCCTCTGTGCATTCAACCCGAAGTGCTTACCGCAGAAGCAATCGTGGTCCGACGGCGTCTGGTTTTCCCTTTCCGCATTGCCAGTCAAATTGGGCAGGCAGAAAAAAAAAGTGAAAACTGACCTTTGCATCTTTCCTGGCTCTTTTGGTGCAGCCCCAGCCAAGGCATTTTGACGAGAAGGCTGGTTTCTTCCGAAAAACACGACAATGTCCGGCCCGCATGGCGACTTCCGCCCACATGCCAGGCCGGAAGTGCGCCCTAAGAGACACTATTGCGGTGCAACATGGTAGATTTGAGTTGGTGCATACCATCTTTTGAGATTTTCATACATTGACAAAGACACATCCAAGGTGTTCAGTTTGCAGATGCACAACCACTAAGAACGTTCAAACCTGAAATGTAGAATTATAGTAGAGTGGAAGCAAATGCAACTAATGGACGAGAGCACAAAGTGTGCACAAGGGGGTCGGATGTTCGAAAACACCCTCTGTATAGGGGTCCAGATCTATTGTACTGCAGCCACGGTGGCAACTGTAGCACTATGGACCGACCTCTTGGTCCTGTGCCATAGCCTAGTGCTGTGCTCAGAAAGGAGGCCAGTTTCAACATTGTGCCACAGGCTGGGTTTTTATTGAGAAAGGTGTCTGTCCACTCGCCGCTGGAGTCAACTACCCCCGGGGCCACAGTGTCTCTGGGTGATGGACGCAATGCAATGCAGTCCGGGCATGCGCACACACCACTGCACCGACTGAAGGAGGGGGCGGGGCCTTGCCTTTGTTCGCAAGGACTGGTTCTCTCCTCTTCAGCTCACAATTCCTCTACACTACTGAAACAGAGAACCGCAGTTTTACTCGCTGGCCCCGAGTAGTGCTGCAATCTTGTCCCTCTAGCCACTCTACTTGCACAATTGTGAGGCCAAAGAGATGTGGGCTGCACATTTCCACGAAACCGTCGCACTGCTAGCACAATACGACATGTATTTGCGGACCATCCTTGCATTGCTGCTTTTTCGAAGTGCACGCGGGGACTGGAAACTCCATTCCTCCGTTTCTCTGCATAGCACTGCTGAAGGAATGAAAAGGGCTCTCTCATCCCACGACTTCTTCAAAATGCATCAATGCATACAGGAAAAGGTGTTCTTGTGTGGTTTCACCAAAATGCGCTGGTGCACACGAGGAAAGGTGCTCTCATTGTGTGGTTCCTCCACTATGCACCGGTGCATACAAGAAAAGCCCTTGCTCTGTGGCTTCTCCACAATCCACTGGTGCACAGAAAGGCTGTATTCCAAATCCTTCCCCAATGGATCTGTGTTACTTCCGCGGGTCGTGTCACGTGACAACACAGACTGAGAAATGCTGGATGCGAATAGGTTTTAGAATGCGAAGGTACAAAACTCTTACCCTGGAGTAAAATCGAGTAAATTTTGAAGCACTGCCAAGGAAAGGTGTTTTCACTGTGTGGCTTCTCCACAATGCACTGGTGCATACAAGAAAAGACTCTCCCATTGAGTGGCTTCTCCACAATGCACCAGTGCATACAAGGAAAGCTACTCATTGTTTGACTTCTCCGCAATACACCGGTGCATACAAGGAAAGGTGCTCCCATTTTGTGGCTGCTCTACAATACAACAGTGCACATAGAGAAAGACAATCATTCGACTGCATCTCCATAGTACATCGGTGTACGATGAAGCACTTTGCTGAACTAAGCACCATTCACAATTTGGTCCCCTAAAAGGCTAAACACTTCAAAAGGAAACTAAAAGTGTGGCTATCACAAGAAAACAGATTATACACCTAATGCCATTCAATTGTGAAGGAAATATTGTCAAAGGAAACTTGTCCAGGTGAGTGCAATTTCTGGACAGATTACTTAGTGCTCTCACCTCAGCACTTGTAATGATCTCTTGATTTATGTAAGCAATACAATGCGCTTGAAAAAGGTGCTCCTAAGTAAGAGCTCGCAAGCTGAAGAAACAAGCAAGAATCTTTTGAATACCACTGACGGCATGAATCGGAAGTTTAGTGGGGACCACACCCGACCTATAAAAGTAATTAGAGGTGCCAGTAGCGCTCAATCACAAAGCACAAAAACTTTGTAAAACGAGGTAACAAAACAGCGTCACCGAAACCTGTTCGGCAACCGGGAACAGGACATGTAAATACCGCCTTTATTGGAGTAATAAACGCACCGTTTACGAATGAAGACTGCGCAACCATTTTCCCCCAGGGCACGTGTATGGCCATTCATTGCGACAAAAAGAGGGACACAGATAATGCTCTATTATGGAAATGCTATTTGTGCAGAGTGCAAGTTCTCAGAGAATTGTTTTCTCGACCTGGTTATTCGCCAAGTTTTGTTCGTAGAATGCAACGATTGGCTGTACGCATGCTCTGCGGAAAACAAGCTGTGCGGGCCTCAGTCGCAAACAGTGCGTCTGTTGCCCGAGCAAATGCGGCACTTCACAAAAAACCGGCAGCTCACATCCAGTCAGAGCAAAGAACCGGAGACAAAACGTTCCTCCCCTGGAGCGGAGGACAACAAACGGCCGGCGTGCCACCTGGCTCGAGCTAATTGTTTTATTTCAGAAACGGTACAACAGCACGCACGCATCTGTAAGCTGGTACAAAAAAGGGGTCGGATTACGAGGCTGGGAGGGCCCAGACTCCAAAAGGCAGCCACTGAACAATAAATACTGCAACTCAAAAACTCCCGAGAGAAGAAAAAAAAAGGGGGAAAAAGAGCCACACCTTCTAGACAGCAAAGCTGTAGGGCTGGACGTCACCGAGTCGCATCCGAATGCTGACGTGGTGCTCGTGTCCTACCTGCGATTCTTGCTGGACTCCGAGAGGCGACAAAGAAAATCCAGCCCCTCGTTATCTAGGAAGCAATGGAAAGGATCCCTCCCTGCCCCCTCCTTCAACGTCGGCTGACGCAAGCAATCTATATATATGTATGGATGTATGTATATTTTTCTCTGGTGTGCGAACCACGCGAGTGATTGGTGGCGGCTCTACGAGTGGAGGTCCTGAAGCCACAACGCAGGGTCCTCGGCGGGGTCGCCGCCCTCCCCCCCTCGAGGCCGTTTGGTCTCTTGCCGCCGCTGCGTGTCGAGGAAACTCCTCGCCGGGCCGCAAGAAAGGAGGGTGAGGCTCACTTGGAAAGCGTTCCCCGGGAAACGGCGCCGTCCGTCATGTCTTTGGCCCGGTACCGGGTCTTGCCGTGGGTCCAGGGCAGATACCGGTACTTTAGCATGTGCTGCGACGGAAAAACGCCATGTTCAAACGTGCGCGTGTCACCTCGTCTGGCAGAAACGTCTAACCTGTCGCCGACCCAGGATGTAAATAGACTCTGAAAAGTTGCCACAATACGATGAACATAGGTTCCTATGAGCTTCACATACCGAGAACAAACAAAACAAACTCAGCTGTTGTACATACAATATTTCCAATAGGCTTACAGACACCTAAAAGTTCCCCAATAGCAAGCACACTTCTTGTTTCCTCGTCCACCTTAGCGTCTAGTATTCATTACGAGGATTTGTCTTCGCACGACAGACATCCGAGCCTTTTCGGGTAATGCAAGAGCAAAGGTTCACAAAACCCTCGTCCTGGTGCCAACAAACAACTCGTCGCATGTCGCTCTTGGTTAAGTATGAGGAATGCCGTTCAGGCTCAACAGACGAATAGAGGTGCCAAAGCAGGTGAGAAGGAGTCGGTCAGTCGATCGAAAGTCCTTCGTCAGACCGGCCCGGGCAGCGTGCCTCACCTTGATCTGCCTCTTCATGGTGATGCAGAATAGGGTGATGAAGTAAAGCAGCAGGATGGGCCAGAAAACCGGCACATTGAAGGCCTCAAAGAAGGTGCACCCAATGCCGACAAGCGTTGCTTTGGTGGCGGAGTACCTGCACGGGCGAAAGACCTGCGTCGAGCAAACCAACGCTTCCCGTGCGACTACTTTGCAAGCAAATAGAACCTAACTTGGAAACGTTCAGACACAGTTCACTCCCCCAAATCGAATCAAGCTGCAGAAAGTAGATTGACACATGCATTGCCTTTTCCTTGAGGGGGGCATATGAGCATGGAATTATAATTTTTCAAAAAAAGAGCCTTTCTCAAAAATGTTATATTCGTGTTTATTAACTTCCAAAGAATGGCCTCAGAAACTCATTTATAAACACACGAGACTTGTCTCAGAAAAAAAAAAAAAAGGACCTTTGGCATGCCGGCAGCTTTCACACTTATAAAACTGGGGCCTGCTCCGTGCTCTCTGGCAGGTCCATATCACAAAAGCGAATGACATTCTAGCGACAAACGACATTTGAGCGAATCGACGTTTTAGCAAATAATGGGGGCGCGTGCTAAGCCACCCCCTCCCACACGGCAAAAGTCTGCGGCGGCTCATTACAAAAATGTTAACCCACCTCGCCCACCCGTAAACGCTATTTCGCAACGGCCGACTATTCGCTAAAGTGTTATTCCGTAAAACGTCAGCGTTCGCTAAAACATTATTCAATCAACCGAGTGCCTCCCGCTCTTTGGCATAGCCAGAACGTGTCACCCCCATTGGAAGCGCCTTTTACTCTCTAGGTTTAGCCCGTAGAAGCTTCCCAAGTTTAAAAGTACCAATGGCCAGAAGAGCCCCACACATGCAAACAGAAAAAAATAGGGAAATATGGTACAAGCAATTTTATTGGTCGAGACCCGAAACATTGCTTAATATTGGTCGTGTCCGGTGACATGATATTGTGTTATCATTCAGCAGCACCATTTTGACAGTATATTTTCCATTTCAAATCATACTGCTACTTTGCAAACCTCCTTTACCATCATTGGCCTCTTATTGTAAAATCACGAGTGAGCGCCCACTCAAAATTTGGAGATAATCGTGTAAAAATGGGGGATGGGCACTCCTTAGGTCAACAATATGTAAATACATGTCCTTCATGTATTTTCCAAATGTTACAGAATTGAGGGTTTGGCACTTATTGTGGAATGGGCAGATGCTCCGTATTTTAATGAAGTTCTCAGCAGTTCATCTGTCGATAAATGCCCGCTACCAAAGTTTGCTTGCATACAAATGACGCAACCTGGTGGCCAATGCCAGGGGAACAACGAAGTCTCAAAGAAGGTGCTACCTACCATAAAATACCGCAGAAGCACCCACTTCGTTCAAGCACCTACTATTTACATTTCCCAAAGTTGGGAATTCTGCACATTATACACTAAAGGGGGACACTGAAGAAAAGTAGACTTCTGTACCACTTGCTTGATTTCAGTCAAATTTGCAGTGGAAGTTAATATGAGTGGCAAGACCATCCCTGCCAAATTTCTTTGTCCTATAATTCTGAAACTTGTTACGAATGTTACAGCATGGAAGTCACTGCGTTTGCTTAGGAGAACTATCGTTTTAAAATAAAATAAAAATTCGTGATTTTTTTTGTGTAATCTAGTTAAAGGAATGCCCATAGCACACACCCAGCTAGTTATTTTGCTATATTGCATTGTTTTTTTATAAGTGTAACTGCATCAGAAGATTAACATGTTTTGTTCATGTCTGCGCTTTTTTACAAATATATGTTTCTTTTAGCAGAAAAGAATGTTAAAGTAGAAAAACTAACCAGCCAGGTTATCCCAGAAAACCACCTAAGAATAATTCTCTATTCTGTAATAGGAAAATGATAGTTTTTCTAAAGTGAAATTTGCTGCTGAAAAGTGGAACAGAGAAAAATGCATTCAAAGTGCTCCAACCCCTACCTTTTCTTTAGAATCGGTGGACCGAAAATAATTTATAAAAATTTAAATATGCAGTGTAAACTAATGAAACTTTCTGGGAATACTCGCTAGATGCTGGTGGATGTAAATATGGCATTTTTTCAAAATCTGAATGCAGATGGCTTCCCGATTCCAAAATGCTATCTCGTTCTCCCAGATTCACTCTAGTTAATTAAAAAAAATTATATTCTGTTTGCTGCCGAAACCGAAACATCGTTCTCCCTAGTTTTTCCCCAGTTTTCTCCGCCACCCAAGCGTAATGTCACGGGTGTGCAGCGAGGTGCGCGGCCGGCAATCGGGTACGCTAGCGTCCACCTTTCTTGCGTCTAACCGCGAGAAAACCTGGGCGTTCATGCTATTTAAGTTGATAATTATCTATATTTGCGCAAAGTATACCTTGGCCTACGTGCAAAACTATAAAAAAAAAAAAAACGAAAAAAAATGGGAGCAATTGCAAATTTAAAAAAAAAAAAAAAAAAAAAAAAACGTTTTTTAACTTGGTATGTTTAAGTAGAAGATGGCTGGCGAAGAAAGGTCGAAGAGTCACGCAATACATTTTTTAACAAATTGCCAAAGCACCACAGAAAATGCTCGGAATGTAGGTACAGATGCCCCCCACGCTCATACAACCTGAAGGAACGTGCCATTTGTTTTACATTTCCTTTAGAAAAGTTACCGTTGCAGGCGCCAGCACGTGTAACTACTCTTGTGGCATGAATATGCTCCTTGGTGCCTAACTAAGTAATTTAGCAAAAGATCTATAGACCATTTTTGAAAAGCGCTTCTGGTCGATGCCATTTTCAGCGTTTGTGCGTGTGGCACGTACATTGCTCACCTTCCAAAGCGACAAACATGTGCGTGCTAGGCTGGGACCTAACAGATGTAGACTGTGATTCTTGTAAATAATAAAATGTATAGAATGGAGCGAACTGCATTCGTGTAGATCAGATGGCAGGTTACTGGTCATGAAGATTGTGTTAAAATGACAATTAAAAGAACTCTGCAACCACCAAGCCAAACATCAAGGAGCAATGGAATGCGTATAAATACACTGTTCATCTTCAAATAAAAAATATTTGCTTGAAGATACAATAATGCGTAAGGTACAGAAAGACATCATAAAACTTTTAATTCAAAAGTAAGTTAATGAACGTTACTAAAAAAAATGTGCACCCAATTTTTTTTTTTAATTTTTGGAGTAGAATGCAACACATTGAAACAATCATCCACGAGAGCACATTGGAAGGGGGTAATTCTGGCCGAGCTGTCCACAATGTGAAGGGCGACTTTTTGCAAAGGTGTCGCCTAACTGAGCAAACGCATGCTAACTGAGCATAGCATGACGAGAAATCCGCAGATGGTCTAACATAATCCTTGGCTCTTTGCTGGGGCACGCCAAAATAAACGCCCTTTGTTGGTCTGGCACATAGCCTCGCCTCCCCCCCCCCCCCCCCCCCCACACACACACACAGACATATACTGTTTTATTTAGCATTGACACTTGTTTTCTAGAAGACATAGTAGGGGTGGTTACATCATGCGACCAGTGTTCGAACAAGGCCAAGAGTGATTTTTACAATCTGAGCTAGCGTCAAGGATTATCTCTCGCTCGACATGATTATTGAGCAGCCGTGCGAGACTCTAAAAAGGAGGGGCGTCCTCACCAAAACTTGAACTCCGGTAGCCTGCGGATGAAGGGCCTAAACTCCTCGTTGACCTTCGTTGGCAGCTCTGGCCCGTCCTCTGCAACCCGGCAAAGAGAGGTCACAAAAGCATGCGGGGAGAGCCCCGCGTTCCAGTTTCCACGCACGTGAAAAAATTTGGAGCGGTGCATTCAGGCTTTGGCCAGTTTGCAAGAAGCAGCGTCTCGTTCAAGATTGCTCCAAAGGAAGCACTGTCAAGGCCAATGCGCAAGCCAAGTGGCATTTAGTCTTGGCTAAGATGCTGCTTCTAGCGAACTAAACTGTGGAGGTGACAGCATGCACAAGAAAGGGCAAAGCCTCCAACATGCTCCCCCAAATATGCTTAAACATGAGACATGTTAGGAGATCTCAAGAAGATTGAAAAAGGGAGAAACAAGGGGAAGACACAGAAAGGGGACAGATGCACCAGTTTCTCTTGTTGCGTGCCTCTTTTTGTGTGTCCCTCAGTATATCAAATGTGCCTAGCATTTTGACAGATGTAAGTTACGTTAGTAGGGGCTTAGTAGGCGTTTACTATATCCGGCCTCGAGACTTCTGCATCCAGTTTACAATCTGCTTGTATGACAGCATTGTCTCTGCTCCTGAATGCACAGTTTCAGTTTTGCGAGCCGCCAATAAGCTTGGCAGCCAGTATTTCATCAAACTGAAAATGCCACTAATTTGGAGAACTCAAATGCACAGAAAGCGGTAGAAGCTTAAAAGATTCAAACACAACTCAGCAGCACAAAACGGCCACGACAGGCTCACCATAGTCATCCCCCATGGCAGGATCAATCTTGGGTGTGAGGAAGGCTATAAACAAGTTCAGGTGATAGATTCCTAGTGCATATGTTACAATGTACCAGCCCTGCAAGGCAACAAAAGGCGGCATGTGTCAGAGAAGCAGCCTATCAAGACACTCTGATCACATAACAGCAGCAAAAATCGGTCACTTTTATGTGTCAACAGACAAGCATGTAAAAGCCTCGAGGTACACCTAAGCATTTGTCGAGAGTTGTGAATGCAGAAGCATGCACGCCGCTCTTCGCTCCCTTCTTTCGTCTGCGGCGTACGGCGCGCTGACCTTGGGCGTGGAATGGTGGAGCCACTGCCTCGCGAACACGCAGTGCCATCGGGTGAGCAATCGTTGAAACTGAGACGCAGCGGCCAATGGGAGTTTCGTCAACGCGCACCAGCCAATGGGACCGAAGCCGAAAATTCATCAGCTTTACTTTGCTCCCTTGAAATCGGGAAAACTAAATGCCGTGTCTAGGCTTTTCACGTGGTTTCATAGCTGGGTGCTGGCCACACTTGAATAAAGGATTTAAGGTGCCGTTTTCGTGCTTCAAACTGAGGACGTCGGCTCGCTCCATGAGACAGTTAATGCTTTCACATTAATATGGCTCGGCAGCAGCACTTGTAAAAGATCACTACATTTTGTCCTAAGTGATGGCACATAGTACCAAGATACTACCCACTGAACGTTTTAGTACGACTAACGCATTTGATGAGCAAATTTAACAAAGTCGAATTTCAACCAGAGGACCGGCACAGAGGAACACGTCAAAACCCCGGGGCAGAGGCACCACAGAAAAACGAATGGATATGGCTAAAACCTCCAAATCAGACATCGGCTTAACGTTTGCAGCGTATGTGCATATTAAGACTTAACGTTTATTACATTTTCGTTCCGTGTGACGAAAGAGCGCTGCTAATTGGTATGGCCGGCGGCCAAAAATAGTCATTTTGTGCAGGATGTGACACAGAACGAATGAAAACGGGCACTGCGTCACGATTCGGTGGAGCACACGGACGTCTGAGCTCGAGGTTGGGTCCAATGATTCTGGCCACAGCACGTTGCAAGAGTTCCGCTTAAGATGGTACTACCTGTCCAAACAAATTTCACAGCCCAGTCAATTTTGGAAACCCAAAACTCGCGTGGGCTGTTCACTCTCCATGATCATACATTCAAGATCTTTTTTTTTAATATAAATATGAGTTCAATAATCAATGGCATCAGAGGAAAGCAGTACCAGTCCCTCGTGTTTTCAATAAGCGTGTAATGGGTTGGTTAGTTAAAACATTTTGCTTTTGCCTCACTGCACATTTAGGGGGTGCTTTCAAACATGGGGCATTAGTTTGTATAAGTTTAATGAAGAATGCTATGTGATTATACTATAGCTTCATGAGCAGCAAGTTTAATTGAATATGTACTTTCTTGCCAGTGGAAAGTGAGCGACGGGTCAGTGATGAAGTCACCCGTATAATGTTGATACAACTACTAGATATTTTCGAAGTAAATGTAATGTAACAGTGTTATATCTTTCTTCTTTGAGAACTGATAAAAAATAAATAAAATCTTATGAGTAGCATCAATGTGTTTGCAACTCCATTTCATCTGTGCTTAGGCCACTGGAACCACAACTTTTTAAGAGCCACTTTTCCAGCTCTGCTTGCAACCCCCTTTTTGCAACCCCACAGGCGAGTATGTAGCATACAGCATCTCACCTGAAGGTACACAATTCTGGCCATGAAGGCAAGGAGAAGAAGGATAGTGGCCAGCCACCTGAAGAAGGAATAGGGTGTCCAGGCATCAAGCAACCGCTGGTAAGTCTGGGCGACGGGCAAAAAAAAACACCGGTTAGTCACCAGTTGCCATGGATTTGGATCACCCCGCGCCAGGGCACTCTTTTCATTTGCTGCACCTCTTGAACTATTATGGGAGTGGATATATTGCCGGCAACCAGCACAAAAATTTGGAAAAGATTACAAGACGCTTACGCTTCGCCTTTAAGATTGTTTGAAATTCCCACGCGTGGTAATGTGGCTGTGATGTCATGACCCTTCAACCGATCCTGAATTTTCCCGTCATGCCACCGACATCGGCTTTTCTGCGACACAAGCTCCTAAAGGGGCACTGACAGGTCAAAATCATATTTTTTTTAATTTGTCGTCGAGCGCCTAAAAAAGAGCACTTCCATTCTCCGATCATCCACAGTTCTACATGCGTCGAGCGCCGCCATGCTAAGGGAGGATAAAAAAACCAGGATGCGACATCACTTCAGACTCCAATTTTCAGTATCTCAAGAAGAAAGGCCATAGTCCATTCGCAATTGCATTAAAAAAACATGTTTTACGAATGCTGTTATTAAATATTATAGAAATGTCGCTTACATAGCTTCTAAATTTCATAATCGATGGTGTCAAAAAATAAAAAGACACGAGGAGGGGAAAAACAAAAACCAAGAGCGCAAAAAGTTCATAAAAAATGTGTGCGTGGGAAATCGAAGGTGAGCACAAGCACTCCCATACTTTTGGTCACGTTGCCGCAGAAAGTTGTCACGAAATGTAGAGGGCAATCGTGCGCACCGCCACTTTTTTGCATACGTTGCTGCCTCTTCTAGTTTATTGGCCGAGAGGAAGGACGAGGGGGGTCGGGGCTTAGGTTATATTGCTCCAGTGTTGAACGTTACAGGGTGTAAGTATTCTCAGATTTGCTTTTGCTATCAGAGCTGCCATCTTCAGTGTTTACGCCTGCTTAGTTTCTATGGCGCGGCAGCGAGTGTCACATGTGCCGCTTTTAGGGCCCGTGGATTTGGTACCTGTTTCACGAGTAATTACAAGCATTTTGAAACAAAATTGAAACAAACTCTTGTAAAATGTTGGCGAAGCAGTGCACGCAATGGGAACGTGCAGAGTCTAGAGCCTAAACCATGAAACAGGTGTATAATACTGCCAGCATTTTTTTTTTTTTTTTCCAAGTCAGTCCTGCTTGCAGCTGGCATATTTCCTGCAGAAATATGCAGGTGGGAGTCGCACGATTGTAGCTGGCCAATTCAACCACCGGCAATTTTGTTCCCGGCCTCCTGTGCCAGCTGCCGGCAAGATATCCACATCCAATTACAATCCATACCGCCACACACTTGCACACATACACTCAAGAGTTTGCAAACAATGAACACAAATATTTTATACTGAGACAGTCAGCCGAGGTGTACTGTGCAACAACACAGGTAGCACAAGGAAGCAATTGCCAGTTTCCCTTCCTCCTTTTTTTTTCTTCTTTTTCCGGACTGAAAAGGCCGGAAAAGGCCGGGATCAAAAGCATCAGTAGGAAATGTGTTTACTTGGGTCAAATACGAAAAATTTGATAGAGACGCTCAAGACTGCTTACGTGTGGGAATGCGAAAGCATGATGCACGCACTAGGCACAGCTTTAGTCAGCTGGAACCGTGGAGCTGCCATGGCTTTGGAGAGCATGCTCGTCTTGCACCCCAGAGGCCCGGGTTCGATTCCCAACGAGACCAAAATGTATGAAATTTGATTTTCAAAGCCATTAATTTACTTTGTTAACAGGAACCTCTCAGAGAAATTTTTAACGGGTTTTTAATCTTTACGCTGTGCCACCAGCAGTCTAGCTGGCCCTTGGCAACAATGACGCCGTTACTATGGAGCCACATGGTGCGTCGCAGCCAATGGGAATTTAGGTGCCGTTTGCCGGCTTCACTCTATGGGACAGTTAAAGGGGTACGGAAGCAAATATTGAAATATACAAATTTCGTTTGGAAATGAGTTAAGCATGATAGATAATAACCATAAATGATAATCACACGTTTGTATATTGAACGACTGGCTATATTTTTCGTTCCAAACGGCGCACTCGAGCAAGCGCTCGAAGAGAAGCGAATGGAGAGCACAATGCGTCATAAAATATCATACGCAAAAAAAAAAAAGAAAAAATTTCTCGCATTGCTGACGGAGTAGCAAGGCTGGCGGGGTTTCACTTTTCCGTTGGTGGCGTCGTCAGCGTTGTGGTGGCGTCAACAGCGTCAATGCGTTACAAGCGAGCCTTTTGATGACGAGCGTTTCACATGTGAGATCAGTCGTGCGTGTCGTGTTTGTGTGGCCCACTCCAATGGCGCTTCAGGACGATTTCCTTGGGAACATAAACTTGAATGGTACAAGTGAGGATGAAGACACCGCCACCGCCCTCTCTGTATTCATTTCGGAGAGCGAGCAGCAGGTGTTGGAACCTACGTTGGAAACAATGGACAAGCGAACCCGATTCACAGGACATGAAGTTCTCGTTGTTTGGAAACTTGTTGATCAGCATATCGCTGTTGACCAAGTCGTTACCACAGATGTCAGCCACACAGAAGCGCGGCGACATCTCGACATTAAAAAGTACAGAAAGGCTTGGAACTGTACAGCAAAGTCAGAGGAACAACTCAATGACATTCCTCAACGAGCCCATCATGGCATCTTGTTGGCTTCCTTCATAAAAGGCAAAGGCTTCACAATCACGTTCAGGCGGAGGCAACTTACAACAGTTGAGCATACTTCCAAAGAGTGGTGCTGCTCTGATGTTTAGTGCGGCTACGTAGCAAGCTTCCCAACGTTGCTAGATGACTTCCCAACTAAGCTTCACAGGCATCCAGCAGGTACACATTGAAAGATGGTTTAGCTAGCTTTAAATTAAGTTTCCTGGTGCCTTTCCACGAAAGACTGGTGTTTTTCAAGTTATGATGCAACATGCAACACATTTAAGGTAGAAAATGAGAGCTGGAATTTCGTTTCCGTACCCCTTTAATGCTTTCATTAAAAATTTGTGACGGCCGCTATACTTTACGAGTCACACGGGAAAATGCGCCTATATGGTGTTCGTGCCCCCTGTGTCGCGCAGTGGAAGTTTCCTGACCAAGAACCCGTTGAATCTCGCACACAGGTCAACGGAGGATCATGCGTTACACGTGTAGAGGACGACAACTTCTTTGCTCCTTGCACGGGCTCACCTGGGAAGCGTTCCTGAAGAATAACGTGAGCGCGGACGGCTGCGGCCGGCCCGAATCTTCGCCTTCCATCATCTTGGAAGATGTGTGATGGAGGTCCCCGTGTTGACGGCTGACACTCCGGCACTTGGGGAAAAGACGAAACAGCGCTGGTTAGGACCGTACTGTCAGCTAGCGGCACCGGTCACTTGTTAACACAGTGGCCACGACAAGCAGCGAGGGATACACATTAAGGAATAACTAGCCTCCCTGATCGAAACCTGGCACTTATTTGATCAACAGGTGAAAAACACTTTTCAGGCGAGCTGTGACCAACTCTCCGTCATCGACACGCGACGAAATGAGTAAAAACTGCTATCCGTGAGCTCGGCCGACCGGCACCGACGCAGCCCACGTAGCTTCGGCATTTTCTCGCTCGTTCTAGGATGCTTCCAAAGGAACGAGAGGCGTCTATCGAGCGAATTTAAGGAGCAAGGGGCACTGAAGGAGACGAGAAGTTACCTCTAATCAGCAATAATCCTCCGAAGATAGGCCTAAGTGGCACAGATTAAGCTTCGGGCGCTCGGGCTTCGATCTGTGTGTAAAACGCCACGTAGTAGCACAAGGCACCGGTAGAATCTAGCGGAGTTCACACCTACTTTGCTGCGTTTGCAATGAAGAGACGCTTACGACCGCTGCCGTAAAATTATTTTAGTCGCTTAAATTATTTTTAAATCTTTCAAAACAATAAAGCACTTCGTGATGTTGAATGAATAAAATCGCTTAATTTGTTTTCTCGACTGGGTATTCAAAGTGGTAGATGGCAACCTGAATAAAAACATTTTAAAAATGGCGGCACCCAGTCGATGGTGTGTGTGACATGTGGAGCATTTGTGCTTTTTCATTTTGTGCCTCTGATATCTCATCAAACAACACTTTAAAATATGAGAATAGGTGAACCGATAGCAGAACATATCGTTCGCGCTATTTTCTGCCTTTAAAAATATTGTCGTAATTTATTTATGTGGTTTTAAGACATGTCGTCGAGGTATCTCCTAAAGTTCTCGTACCTGGGTACGAGATACAGGTGAGTTATTGGCACGCCTGGAACGACAAAACGTGAGCGCATCTGCTGCATTTTCGCAATCGAAGCGCATGCGACATCGACTTCACAACAGAAAGTTGATTTAAGCGAGAAGAGAGTTTACTGGGGCCGGCGGTCACCATGTCACCACTAGAGTTGCGCTTCCGTCCAGACGGAAGAGAAACCCGCCACTGAAGCTCCGTCCAGCATATGCAGGGTATCACAAAAGAAAATTTACGCGGTCTTTTTTACCGCAAAAATAAACTAAGCATCACCGAACACTCATTTTCCGCCCTAAGATAAAGCTAGAGGTCACAACCAGATGCCAAAGTTTCAGCCCGATCCGATAAGTGATTTTCTGAAAATTTCAATGGGAAAATGGAGCCCATTTTTGCCCGTTTTCGGTTTCTGGTGCCATAAAGCCCCACGTGTTTGAAAACTCCGTTGGCCACCATTTTCCCATTGAAATTTTCAGAAAATCACTTATAACTTTTGATTAAGTTATCAGATCGGGCTGAAACTTTGACATCTGGTTGTGACCTCTAGCGCTACCTTTGGGCGGAGAATGGGCGTTCGGCGATGCCTAGTTTATTTTTGCGGTAAAAAAGACCGTGTAAATTTTCTTTTGTGACACCCTGTATATAAATGAGGGTTCATCCCTATGTTCCACCTCTGACCCCTTTCTGGAATAAAATGTGGATCCTACGTTATCTTTGACGTAATCTTGAAGTCGAAATCACGTGTCCCAGCAATCCTATGCGGCCAGAAACTGTTGGAGAGGTGGAGACGAGAGCTCGCGGGGACGTCGGAACGCCGAGCTCTGGTTGGAATGATTAGAGCGGGTAAACTCGAAGCCTTTGCCTCCACTGCACTCTTCGAACGCGCTAGAATGTGGAACGCGAGCATCTGGCGTTTGGCTTTCGCATTCCAACGCGTTCAGCGAGTGCAGTGGAGACGAAGGCAGCTAAGTCGGCATCCAGATCCAGTGAATAGGGTGGATATTCCAGCATTTCCAAACCTTTATTTAGGAATGGCATTATTGCAACGCGAGACCTGAGGCTGGCTGCATTGTCGAAATGAAGTAGCGCTTCCTGTCTCCACTTTCCATGATGTTTCTTTTTGATTGCTGTGCATCATTTTGTAATTAGGTCCGCATAGTAAGAACCCGTTATTGTTGCTCCTTCTTGTAAGTAATCCATCGAAAACAAGGCATCCCAAGAAACCGACCGAGAGCCTGGGCGAAAAGAAACATCATATAATAATAATGATCCTTATTGGCTTAGGAAAGTCGCAGCGCCACAGAAAGGGAACAGCCGGAACAATAAAGGTCCGCGGTGCTGCATCTAGTGATGGTGATATTAGCTTGATTGTAGAAATTTGTTTTTCCAAGCATCTGTGGATGCTCTGCAGCCCGGCTGTCGTGCCTTGATGTGAAGACGGAAACATGAGTTGATATATGCTTTCCTCACAGAGGCATGCAGCGACAAAGCAGTCGACCCTGCTTGGAGAATTGGACCGTCCAGGGAGCCATTGAGGTCAGTTTCACATGGTGTTCCGAGTGCTACTAGGTTATTGCATCTAGTAGCAGAACTATAGTAAATTGCTTACAATCTATGAGAAAGACGCCACCCACAAAAAGCAAAGGCTTGACCTTCACAGGAGAGGTCTGCATATGCCAGTCGTGCACCATTTTTAGCAGTATGGTTCAGCATATATGGCTAGAAGACGAGAACCCTCAGGCTGCGAACACATTCGCTACATCTCATTGACTAATGGAGATGCCATGAGCTAGGTACATTGTTCTGATTGTGAATTATCTTTTGTATGGGAGGAGTGTTGCTGCAATGCCCTCGTCATACGCATATCTAAAACTCCTAGGCATTGCCCTTTTAAGGCTCTTCTAGCCCTGGAAGAGCGAGGTGACACTGCTGCCTGCACATAGATTACACTCTGCTCTGCAGGAAGCGGGACTTCTCGCACGTACGATTGTCACACCTTCCCTCCTGGCTCATCATATCTTTCATCCCGTGGTTGCTTCAAAGATGCCATCTGCCCCCTTGGCTCGACCAGAATAAAGAGGGTGATACAAAATTCATTTGCTGTCGAACCGCTATATTTTTGCAAAAGGTTAATTCAATAGATTATATATATACTAGGTACTCTTTCTACCTCAGGGCAGCAACGCCATTTCCTTTTTGCGTCCTTGCAAACGTCCGAGGAGGAACAAGCCCCATCATGACACCACTGCTTGCAACCTCTTTGAAATAGTTTATTATCATTTATCCTGGATAGTTAAGGGATCGGTTAGCAAGAGGTTTGTTGGAAATATTTTATTACTCGTGTAATGTAACCAATTACCTCATATATGTCCGACTGCTAAGCAGAACTACCTTGCCAAGTTTCCAACTTTGTCATTTCTGTAGCACTTTAGTGTCCTAGCAAGGAGATGCCCTGCGTTTGTAAAGACTAAAAGGGTCTCTAATGTTCATTTCCAAACACCTGTGTGTGGTTAGATAAGTGTGTGTTTTTCGGTGTCTCATTCTAAAATGTCAGAAAAATGGTGCGCTTTTATTGAGGGGGCAATTTGCAGTGTGGCTATTTCCATTTTCTTGTGCATCCGGTGGAAGCTTAGTTATGTCATAAGAACGGCTGACTGGTCGTTGGCAGAATAAGGTCATCAGCAGTGTTTATGTACAGATATTCTAGACATGATAAATGTCTGGAATCGTTCGTTCATGGCCAGGCCTCAAACACGTGAATTCTCGTCTCGGGATCCCACGCTTGCTTTGCTTTGTCAGTACTTCCATATAAATAAGTTTCAACAAGTTACTCGAGCATGTACATATTGTAATACCTACTAAAGGTAGCTTGTAGAAATATTATGAACTCTAATTTAAACAAATCTTTCGGTACCCTGACACCGTTGATTTGTGACAAAACCCTTTGGAGCCCAGTATCCTCCCTACCCAATGTCACAAAGGTCTATGGCACTTCAGCGACACTTTATAACCATGGAGAACATAATAGCGCTTCACGACAGGGACGAAGGGTAGGAACAAGACAACACAATGCGCTAACTTCAACTGGTTTAATCGTCAGAAAATCAAAGGTATAAATACTCTGCATCATCGCGCCATTCAACCAATCCCAAGCCACGCCACTGATCGCAAGAACTGTATCTCTTTGTCAGCCAAATCGATCGACGCCACGCTGACACATCGATCCCCGTAGTTTCTTATCAGGTCCGCCTCTATAATTTCCCTTACCGTCTTATCTCTATGTTTTCTAATGACAGTGCACAAATTAAATTCAGGTTTGCACCCACAGTCATGGCAGTGCATGGACAAATGACCGTCACGCTGTCCGCTCACTTTTAGGTTTGGACAGCGTGACGGTCATTTGTCCGTCACGCTGTCCGCTCACTTTTAGGATTGGACAGCGTGACGGTCATTTGTCCATGCACTGCCATGACTGTGGGTGCAAACCTGAATTTAATTTGTGCACTGTCATTAGAAAACATAGAGATAAGACGGTAAGGGAAATTATAGAGGCGGACCTGATAAGAAACTACGGGGATCGATGTGTCAGCGTGGCGTCGATCGATTTGGCTGACAAAGAGATACAGTTCTTGCGATCAGTGGCGTGGCTTGGGATTGGTTGAATGGCGCGATGATGCAGAGTATTTATACCTTTGATTTTCTGACGATTAAACCAGTTGAAGTTAGCGCATTGTGTTGTCTTGTTCCTACCCTTCGTCCCTGTCGTGAAGCGCTATTATGTTCTCCAAGTTTCAGTACCAACTCGCCCAAGAATCCGCATTACTTTATAACCATGTTTTTATGCAAATTGGAATAGCCAAGTAAACAAAGTGTCTACCATGGTACATATAGTTTTTAAATATTACACCCGATTTATTTGCTGACAATTAGTACCTTTAAGCACATTAATCGATCTAGTCTAGTTCCAAAAAACAAGTGCAGGCGATAGACTTATTTCGAAACTCGAAGCGCCTCATTGTGGAGTACTGCCACGCTATGTATCGAAGGAATGAGTGGAAAGCAAAATCCCTCCATGCTCCACTCCTGGCTCACAGGTTCCGAGGTTAGAATGCATTCGGTGACTGATTTATGGGAGTAGTTTTCTGGATAGCTTATTAAAATCAAAATGGAGAATCTTTTAAAAATGCCAAGTGCGTATAGTGTTAATTTTAACTTATTACCATATTTTCTGGCGTACGAGTTGCAGTTTCTTCCCCAAATTTCCATCGGTACGTATTGTACAACTTATACATTTTTTTTTATAGTGCCGGGACGAGCTCTGATAAACTGGCTGCTCCCGTTTGTGTGTATATCGCAATTACAATACACAAATGTAGTCTTATCAATGTAATTTTGCAGTACCAACCATACATAAATTAAAGTGCATATTAGTAGCAACAGTCTGTAATAAAAAAGGATTAAAGGAGAGGACACATAGAAAAACAGACACAGTGCTGACTATCAACTCATGTTTCTTCTTCTACTTCTTTCTGTAAAGCAAAACCAAGGTAAAAAAAAAT